CGCCAACACCCACACCGAGCTCAGGTACTGCCACATCTCTTCACCATCTAATGCTGCTTGTGCAAAGTTCTTTGGCGCTCATGGCCACGGGATAGGGTTACTGTGGTGAAGGAGCTGCATGTCTCCTTTGATCACCCAGCAATACTGTTCAGGGAGCACTTGAGTGCAGAAATCTCAGCTGAGGAGTCTCTGTACGATCTGCCCTGGGCCTCTCTTGTCACAGTGTAGAGGTTTTTGGGAAGGCTGGACCAGCTGCCTGGGACAAAACTCCCATGTTGGAGTGGATCTCCTCTAACTCTCTCTTGTGTTAGGTCCACCAGCCACAGAACCAGGGACCACCTTGCCAAGCACTACAACGCAGCCTTCGCATACACCAAGACCCACACCGAGCTCAGGTACTTTCATGCCACCTCCCCATCCTCTACTGCTTGCAGCAGCTGTCCATTTCACTTCCTCCAAGGCCCACAACCAAGAGGTGGAATGGCTGTAGTGGTGGGGCTGTGCCTCTCTTTGTCCCAACATTGTTGGTGAGAACACTGGAGATTTTGCTGAGGAGTCACTGTGCAATCCCTGCCCTGGGCCTCTGCAGTCATGGTGTTGCAAGCCAGCTGCTTGCAAAAAAACTCCTGTTGGTGTCGATCTCCTGTAACTCTCTCCTGTGCTAGGTCCATCAACATCAAATGCCACGATCCCCTCACTAGCCACTACAACGCAGCCTCCAAATACACCATCATCATCTAGACCTACACCAAGCTCGGGTATGCCACATCCCATTCCCATCTCTTACTGCCTGTCATAACTGCTCAGTGTTCTTAATCCAGTTCTCATAGCCAAGTGACAGAGTTTTTATACTGGAGGGTCAGAGCTTTTTCTTGTTCACCCAGTCACACTGGGTGGACAGTCCTTCAGTGCTGAAACTTTTTCTTAGTAGTTCACTATTGAAGTCCTGCCCTGGCTCTCTTTTGTTACAGTTTTGGTGGTTTTGGTAACAGTAGACTAGCTGCCTGTAATTATCTGATGTACCCTTTATTGCCATGTTCATAAGTATTTAGATTACCCTTTTCTATGGTAAGTTTTCACCTGTTATACAGGTGTTATTGTTTATAGTATTTAGAAATTTAATTTAGCTTCCAAATTCAGTTTTTATTTTGGATATTATCCAATTATATGGTCCTGGAAAAGACTGAGACGTGGTTATTGTTTAGTACTTAGGATAGACATTGAAATGTCAATTTAGCTAAGTTTTAACTGCTTCATTCCTTTAATTTTGAGCACTAAGTCTTCTATGTGTGTCAGCTTGTTAAGTACAAGAGAGTGCTAGCTCCCCTAGTCAGTTTGGATGTCTTCTGTTTGTTTTTTTTTTAGAATTGTTATTTACATAGTTCCTGGAGTTTTAATAGTATGCATGTAAGCTGTAAGGTTGATATGTAGACACAACCATGACTGTAGTTATTTCTGTAACATGCCATTGAAAAGCAGAGAGAGAAGAGGTAAAGACCTCTTTTCATTGCTTCTTGTTGCTGCTGATAAACATCATAAAACACTTGCAAGCCCAACTCTGCTAAGATTTGATGGAAAGATTTTTTGGGTTGAAAATGGGAATTTCTTATTAGCACTCAAAACTTTACCCGGCTCACACACACAAATGCACACACACTGTGTACCTCCATTTGTACATATTATCACTGGCTAATTAACATCGATATTTTTCAAAAGTGTGTAAAAGACATCTTGTGTATGTAGTATTCAATAGGACTTCCATAACTTATATGAGTTCAGAAGCCCAGACAGCTGGTAGTGGCAGCAGTTTATACTGGCTAACCAACCTTGTAAAGTTTTTGAGTAGGTTCTTCCTATTTAGTCTGAAATAGCGTTTCACACATGGGCACTAAAACCTCACTGCCCCACTTCATATAATAATAACTTAATAACAAAGCTTTTTTTTAATATCAAAGCTTTTTGCTTATATTGCTTCCTCATGCTCTAGCACAGGTTTCTAATACATAAGAGTACAGATTATGGGTCCAAAGATGAGAAGCTGGGCTGGGCTTTGGAATGTTCTTGACTGATGCCATCACTCTTATCTCTAAGCAGCAATTACAAAGTAAAACAAAGTGGGAACAAAGTGACTGCATAAGTCTGGTACAGATTCAGAGGGAACTATTCTGTCTTTCTTCCCAGGCCGTGCTTCCTGCAGTGCCTCTGGGGATCCACATTATAACACTTTTGACCACAGAGTTCATAATTTCATGGGAAATTGCACTTACACCCTCTCCAAAGTGTGCAACATCTCTGAGACGCTTCCATACTTTGATGTATCCACAACAAATGAGCACAGAGGAGCCAACACCAAAGTCTCTTATGTGAAATCAGTGCAAGTGGAAGTCTATGGCAACCAGATTTCTTTGCTGAAAAACAAGAAAGTGAACGTAAGAAAATACTTGTTTAAAACATATATACAATATTTTTAAACTGACATGTGGATAATGAAATATATTCTGATTGTAGAGTTCATAGAAAACTTTCTCTTTTTATTAGTTAAATGTACCTCTTTTAATGAGAAGTCCAACAAATTTGCTCAGATGAAGTGTTCTTTAATTATTTCCAGTTCCCTTGTGCACAAGATCATATTTTTCTCTAATCTGTTTTAGCTGCTGGTAGTTATACGAGTCCCAGCAGCAATACACTAACTCTGACAACTTGCTGTACAGGTGAATGGCAGCAGAATGAACCTGCCTGTATTTATTGAAAAGAAGATCAGTATTCAAAGCAGTGGTGGATATGTTCTCTTGGAAACTGACTTTGGACTGTGGGTGAGATATGATGGAAATCACTATGCAGAAGTCTCTGTGCCCTCTAATTACAGTGGTCTGCTCTGTGGCCTCTGTGGTAAGTAACGGGCTTAGTCACATTTAGTGAGTTGTTGGAGGCTGGTGATTAATTAAACTTTTTTTCTTAGCATGTCATACTTACTCTATACACAACTAGTCTTTGTCAACTGAACTAGAATTTACAACAGTGAAGAGCACTTACTAGAATTTTTCAGTTTCTAAGAACTATTACTTACAAAATTCCTGGTAACATGCCATCCATTTGGAATGTTTTGAGGTATAAATATAAAAACCTCACCTCAGTTCCACAGTGTAAATTTAGGAAGAGTGATGATTTGCATACTTCTACTCAAGAATTCTACAAATACATTTTCCTGCTATTTACATTCTGATGTATTTGTCTTTTGTTGGGTGTGAGGAATGCTATACCGTTTCATTTTGTGAATCATAAAAACTTGAGGCTGTTTCCACAGTAGAGAGCAATCTTCAGAATAGCTTACTGTCAACATCCTCAAACTTTCCTGCTGCTGTTTTCCTGTGCTGTTTTAGAAAGTATTTATACAACCTGAATGATCACGTTTAGATGATCAGGGCAGGGGGCAGGGCAGGGAAGGGGATAGAAGAAAGAAAAGAAAAAGAAAGAAAAGAAAAATTAGATTGCTAAAGCTTATTTTTACCTACTTTTTATTCCAGCTGAGATAGGCACTGCCTGCATTAAAACAAAGCAATGATAAGGATCCTGTATGGATAATCGTGAGCCGACAGACATGATGAATAAGAAAGAAAATTCATACTTTATTTCCAAAATTCAAATATTACAAAATATTAAGTGCTACATATGATACAAAACATAGAGGCCTTTTAGAGTCCTGTGAGAAAGATCGGACACAAAGGGAACATTCTACTGTGTTCCATAAAAAATTCTGTTGCAACAGGATAGCAAAGTAAATAAGAGTCACAGGTGGCTTATGTAGCTAATGAGAGTAGGAGCTCGCTGGAATTAGCAGTGACCAGTAATTTTTCATCAACGATGTTGCTAATGCCTGAACCTGAGCAGTTTTAGTTGGAACAATATTCTGAAATCCAGGTGATTATATGAAATACACTTCAGGATGCAAATGGGACTGTAGAAATTACAAGAGTAGTTTGTCTTGTGAATTTCTGATTATTCTTTGATTTAGATCATCTGAAATTTCCTAGTTCAATTATCTCTCCATGGGTTTTTCACACTTTCAATTCAAGAAATCTACCTAAAAATATAATGGTGCAAATAACACTATGGATTTCTAGTCCAACATTCTACAGGTGGGATCCAAGGAAATGAGTTGGGATTTTTAAGCTAAGCAATTCTTTTTTGTATGCAATATGATCTAGTTACGTAACAACTTACAGACTTCTTGCTCCAAGTCCACAAGTCTCTGAACAGCAGCTCTCATCAGTGGTCAAAGTCTAAACTACAATTGAGCTCTTCTTGTTTTGCCTAGTACACATTGACGTTGCATATATACTCGCCCTAGTTCATTGTAGTTTATTTTACAGCCTGAAACCTACGTTTGTTCTACAGGTGTGAACTTCATGTGTCCCATAAATCTCTTTTTATCCTCACAGGTAATTATAATGGTGATCCGAATGATGACAACATAAAGCCCACTGGTGACATTGCAAGTGGTTCCACTGATCTTGGACAAAGTTGGCTTGTGCCTGAGAATAACACCATGTATGTATATTAATCCAATCCTGTGGCATTTGCTAATCAAACTCTATAAAATCAGACATTCATCCACTCACTGGCTTTGTCATCCAGTACCATTTTACATCTTCCAACTGCCCGTTAGAAGTAGGGAGCTGCCCCTTTACATCAAATAGGGAATGAGAAGAGGGCTTGTGTCCTCTAAGTCTTGTTTTCCAAAGCAGGAACTGTCTGCTGAGTGTGAGGGAGGATGGGACTTCAGTTCTAGTTCCCTGACTGGAAACTATCACTGATTGGATCCCATAGGTCTTTTTTCATCTAAGAATAAGCCTTTGAATAGCCCATAAGGCATCAAAAAGGGAGTTCATTCAGTGACAGGGTTGACATCAGCTTTTCAAAGAAGCTGGATAAAGTCTTGTGACTGTAATAAAATACACTCTATTGTGCAGGGTTGTCATGTGTCAGTCTTCCACTGAAAACTCTATAGTAAGAGATGTGAAACACACACTTGGTTTCGCTTGCTTTCCCTAGATGCTCCAATGGGACAGAAGAGCAATGTGATCCTGTGCTGGAGAGTGAAGCAAAGAAGAACACAGTATGTGGCATGATCACAGACCCTACAGGTAGTATGTTGGTAGTTCTCTGTGAGCCATGTGATGGAGCACTTTATAGCCTGTGTTGTCTCCTCTCTATAGTCCGTTGTTCTGAGCTCATGTTGGAAGCACGTAAAACCTCCAGTGTGAATGGCAAACATAAAATGCACAGGTGCTTGGTCATATGTCAACCATTCAGACAGTGCCAACGTGTCCATTGTATCTGAGAATGCACACAGGGAGCCATAGCTGCTCTTTGATTTATAGTGACTTTCGCTCTGCTTGCTAAAAGAAACAGTTAAGAGGGCACTGTCATTGCATGTATTACAGATAATTTATCTGAAATTCTGTAGATGTTCTGTGCATCGGAGAGCCCCTGCAGTTGTCTTTTTTTTTAGCCAGCAACTCTTAATTTATGTAAACTATATTGTATCAACCATGCAAAAAGAAGAAAGCCTGATCCAGAGGGCCAAGTCTAATTGTGCACGCTCTGTTTCAAGTGTTAGTTTAACTTACTAAACAAAGTTAACCTGGAGCACTCACATTTGCCATGGCAGAAAATACATAGTGCTGGTGACCTTATCATTCCCAATTTTTTTTCTATCCTTCTATATATCTTTCTTGATTTACACAGGAATCTTCAAGGATTGTCATACCAAAGTGCCTCCTGAGAATTTCTTTGAAAACTGTGTTTACGACATGTGTTTCACTGGTGGACAGGCAACATCCTTATGCTATGGACTGCAGGCCTATGCTGAGTCATGTATCAATGCTGGGATATGCATAGAGTGGAGGAATGCTACTCTTTGCCGTGAGTGTTGTGACATAAGTATCTATTCTAGATTTAAAATTCAAAAGTATGCACATTCTCCTGTACCTTTTTCATGCATGTTATTTCATTTTATGTCATGTTTTGAGAGTAGTCTATCTTTTGTCATGTCTTGAGCCTGCTTCAGTTTCAGTACCTGCTTCAGTTTCAGTACCATTCCAGTATACGTATAAACCTCTAATTTTCATGAACATTTGGATACATGTAGTCTAATCATTAAAGTTTTAACAATTTACTATTAGTTTCTTGGAAAAATTTTATTACATTCAAGTGTATCTTATGTGAGCTTCTGCATTGGGGAAATAACTGTCGCTTTGCTCCAGTGAAAATCTATCATCCTCAATGTAAGCGGAGCTGGTAGTCCTCCATACACAAATGCTTATTGATGGCTTTTGGATTAAAAAAATGGCTTAATAAGAGACCTTGAGAAACAGTTGTTTCTAGCAAAGCAAAGAAATCAAGTATTCTCACTTATCTGCTGATTAATTCTGTTCAGAATGATGTTATGGGAAATTTCATATAATGAACTCATAGTTCTTAGAATAAAGCTTTCCAGGGGTTCCATTTGTGCCAATTTTATGCAGCACTGTGCAGTTTTCTGCTTGCTAGACATCTTCTAAAGGACCTTCATAGCCACAAAGTACACACCTGGAGAAAAAAATAAGTCCTCTGAAGGTCAATCACGCTGCAATAGACCATAATTCTTCTCTATATCTTTTCATCTTTTACACTGATTTTGATTATACCAGTTACTATTTGCACCTTTTTTTCTTTTTCTTTTTCTTTTTTTTTTTTTTTCTGTGATCAACAATTAGCTCTGCAGTGAAACTAAACCATAAAAAAAACATTGAGAGATTCTGAGAACTGCTCAGTTTGGAAAAAGAATTACTATGACTTTAGAATGACTTTAAAGCACTCAGTAAGTCAGGCCTGGAAAGACAGACCACATAGAACTCATATATAAAAAGAACACAGAGCAAGAAACGAGCTTCTAACCCTCCAAATCAGATTAAAGCCATGGACATCCAGACTCTATCATCTGAGGCTATATCCCAGGATCTAAATATCTATGGCTTAATTATAGTGAATAGAGAAGACTCAGTCACATTAAGAGGATTGAATCTCAAGTACTCCCACCATCAGTAATTCAAATAAAAACTCAATTAAGAACCTGACAAAGGGCAGGTACTCTGGCTAGATGACCGGAGATGTTGGCTGTAGTTGCCTGACAGGACTAAATGATCCTGCTGTAGGGACAAAAGTAAATGAGAGTCATATGTAGTTATTTATCACACAATCTAGCCAGAAACAGTATTTAGGCTTTTTTTTAGATGACAGAAATGGGCAAACGTTTTAGGATTTCTGTAAAATGTAACGCCTTCCCTGAAGAGCATGCAATATCACCACGAGCAGGAGGGGTGAGACAGTATAATATACTTTCCTCAAGGGGTCTCAATGACAGAGTCTGATTTTTAGTTCTATTTTTAAATATATGGCAGGTGTCCAAACAGTAACTACAGTAAAGGGGCCATATCGTCCGACATGTGAAGAGATTCTTCTGTTCCCTTGATGGAATGACTTTATGTTTTTAAACCTGCAGAAAAATATTTACTGAACCAAGCACAATTAGTCCTGTATGATCACATCAGACCTGCCCTCACAGCAAGCCTACAATGTTTGACTTCCTTTGTGAGGTGAAGGGTGGGTGGCCCACCTGTCTTATTCACCTCTACCAAAAGCGACCCATCTCACACTGCAAGAAAATCCTTTGTATGCAGCGCTCTCCAGTATCAGACTTTCTAACAGCATTTTTTGTACATTTTCAGGACCAAACATCAGGAAGACTTTTATAATTATTTTGCCCTTTTGAGTGATATTATTTTTCCTTTTTCTCTCTAGCAATGTCCTGTTCTGGAGGCAGCATCTACAAAGGTTGTGGTACTAGGTGTCCCTCTACCTGTTTGAACATGTCAGTGGTTGATTCGTGCAGTTCCTTGCCAGTGGAAGGTTGCTTCTGTAAGGAAGGCTATGTTTTGAGTGGAGACAAATGTGTGCCAGAAAGCAGCTGTGGTTGTGTTGATGAAAAGAAACAGTATCACCAGGCAAGTTACCTCAGACATTTAAAAAAAAAAAAAAAAAAAAAAAAATAAGGGATATCATTCTTTATCACCATGAGAGAAAAAGAATGTTACTAAAACAATTATTATTTACACCATTAATAATAACAAAATGGACTCACTTTGCCAGCCTCTTTGATCCGTCAGCTGTGTGGCTACAATTGCCCAAATAATCATACATCATGCACATTGAAATAGCAGTAATTTGATTGTCCCTTCCAGTATTACCTTCGAATTTATCTTATGGTATATACTTTTACACTCTTTTTTCTGCTCAGCTGGATGAAAGCTGGTTCACCAGTTATCCCTGCACTGAACGCTGCACCTGCAAGGCTAATAACACCATTGTATGCACATCCTGGGAGTGTGGAGTCCGAGAGGAATGCAGTATTCAGGATGGTGTGCTGGGCTGTCATTCCAATGGTAAGTCCTGCCTGAAAATGCTTCTCAACATCAATTCCATATTAGATCCTTCTTCTCCTTCTAGCTTTATTATAAATATATTTTCGTATGTGATATCAAAGAAGTCCCAACTGACTGCTGCCAGTGCTAAGAGATGAAAAGACATGATGATCTGTCTTGCAAGCACAGATCCCCTTCTGTTGTAGTGGATATCAGCAAAAACTTATGCTGCTCAAAAGCTTCAAAGTTCACTTGGGTTCCTTTTGTCTTCATAATACAAATTCAAGTCCCACATCACCAGTGCTGCAAGGTCTATATTTGGGAATAATTGAGAACTGCATTTCTGAGAGTCTGGGTGATGACAAGTGCATTAAGTATCTACGTATATAGATGGAAATGTATTTACTTTTACATTTACACCTATATTTATACATATAATTATGTATTTTTATATAGCTAAGTGAAAAAGCTCTGTATTACTCTCTATTACCATAAATCATAGCTAGAACAGCATATGGAAATGTACAGAGAGGTTCATTTGCTGCAAAGTTGCTAGTTTGTACATAACTTGCAAATTAAATTTAGGAGACGCTTTCTGAAAAATTCTTATTTCCAAATAAATGTAATCGGCATGAATCTGAGATACCTCTGTGAAGATTTGCACACATAATTAGGTTGCTGCACTAATGCAAACATCTTTAGTCAGCTGAGTCCATGGTGAAATCCAGCCCAAAGTTCTTAGATCATTTTTTCACTTTCAGGACAAGGAATATGTCAAGTGGCAGGAGACCCCCACTATCTCACTTTTGATGGAATGATGTACACTTTTGTGGGTACCTGCACCTACACCTTGGTTGAGGTTGTCAACAGCAACAGTGTCATTCCTATAACCATCCTTGGCAAGAATGAAGACAGAGGACTAAGAGGGGCCACGTACCTGAAAGAAGTCTACATAGATATATATGGTATACGAATCACCCTTCAGAAAAGCCAAGCAATCCTGGTAGGTGGTGGTGCTCCTGCTTCTGGCAAGAAGTATCTTAAAATTAGCTCACTAGAGCAGCTGTAGGAAACAGGATCTTCCTGTTTCCTAAGGCACATGTACGAATATGCGTAATACTTGTAGGCACCTCCATTAACTGGGTATCATGGGGAAATATAATTTCTCACTAGTTCCCAAGGCTTCTGGTTTGGGTTTACTGTTCTATTGGCTGTATCTTGGAGGTGGAGCCCAGAGCCTCCAGACTGGAGAACTGTCGCCTGAACTAAAGAACAGGGCTCCCCACTTGAATAGCTGTTGTCAACCCAATCACCTACAGCTGGCTAACAAGAGTGGAGGAAAAGCACATCATACTGTATTGGTCTAGAATAGCACAGGGATCCATGGCAGTACTAGAGGCAGGGAATCCACCCTGTGGGTGGGTAACAGCTTGCTCACTATCAGGGATCTTTTCTGTGCCTGTTAAAGGCACAGGCTGTGAGTCCTGCCCAGCTCTCCTCAGCTAAAAGTCCGATTCCTGCAACCCATAGTGGGGATATGCAATGGTAGAAGTGTAAAGGAGCTGAAACTGTCATAGAGAAATCTTCAGCACTGCAAAGAATACAGCTTGTGAGCAGAAAAGCTTTCATGGAAGAATGTCTGTACTGACAAATGACATGTCCCTCCAGTTGAACAATGAGAGAGTCTACACTCCAGTGGAGAACCGGTTGCAAGGCGTGTCCATTGGAAATGTTGGCAGATTTATAGTAGTGGAAACTGACTTTGGTGTGATAGTGAAATATGATGGCAATCACCATCTGGAAATCACCCTCCCACAGTCTTATTTCTCAAAGGTAAGATTTAATATGTGAACATCTGGCACTATTTCAGAAGCACTGCTTTGTGCATTTACTTTTAATTTCTTTTATTCCTGTTTTGCTATTGCATTTTTCTTTGTAGCTGTATTGGAACACATGCCATTTTTTTCCATTCTGTTTTTTTTCTTCACAACAATTTCCTTGTGTTCCAAGGGGGCAGTTAGAGAAAATGACCTGGCTAGGGGAATACATCCAGCTTATAGAATTAAACATCTTGAAGCCCTAGGGAACCACAGATTTACTGCAGTTTCTATTTTATTTCTGCATGGGTACAGCCAGACACTAGTCAGTATACCTGAGATGTCTGGTACAAGATTGGGTGGTGGTGATGATTTGGTCACATCATTTCAAAGGCAATGAATAAGAAGTTATGGAGAAAGCTGATGTAGAACAGATTGTGCTAAGAATATGGTTCTTGTTCGTTTGCAGGTACATGGCATGTGTGGTAACTTCAATGATAATCATGAAGATGATCTGTCCCTGCTCAATGGTACACTTGTCAGTGTCACACAGTTTGGAAACAGCTGGAAAGTGGAGGAAGACAGTGATGCAGGGTAAATGTAACTGCTTTTCATACCTTTCATCTTTGGGAAACAGTCTCCTTTGAATTGTTTTGACTGTTTGCCATTTTGTAACATACAAGCAGCCTGTGTGAGACTTTTCTTCAATTTGAAGCTCAAAAAAAAGCCTTCACCAGAGGAAACCACTGCACAGGCCAGAGGGAAACCACAACCATTCTATTGATCTACCTACACGCTTGAGGAATGAGGCTTTGGGGCAGTTCACAATGTGGCATAGCCTCTGTCTATTTTACACTGAAAACACCTAGAGCAGAACGATGGCTTTGGGGAACAGTGAGGGCCAGCTGTTCCCCAAGGGACAGGGAGCCAAGTGTGATAACATAGCCAAGAGAACAGTAGCCTCACCCACCAGGGCCCATCCCACACCACCCAAGAAAGGCAAGCAGGGCAGGCCCAAGAGTGGAAGCCAGGGTCAGCCAAGAGTCCAGATCACCACACAAGTCTGCAGGGATGAGACAAATCCAAGGTCAAGCTGAGAACTCAATCCTCTAGTCAGAGTCAAGTTCAGTGAGAGTAATGAAGGTCAGACACAGGATGGTGATTGCCTGGCAGGTCTCCTTCTGCCGAAGACTGTAGGTCTCTAGCATTATTTGTTTAATACCTTTCAGTAGAAACAAAGTTTTCAGTTTCAGTCTCTGTCTTATATACGCCTTTGAAATTTAAATGCAGCTGTGTCTGTGCTTTCATGCAGTTGTTTATCAGACTTAAGAGAAGACGATGTTCCTCCTTGCACTGCTGAGAACAAACCAGTCATTGAAAGCCAGTGCAATGTCCTAAACTCAGGCAAATTCAAAGCATGTCATGATCTAGTCAAGCCTCAAGACTTCATACAGATCTGCGTCTATGACATGTGCCGGTATGATGGCATGAAGTCCACTCTCTGTGACATAGTTCAAGTCTATGTGGACACCTGCAAGAATTATGGAATCACCATTACATGGAGGAATAGCACATTCTGTCGTAAGTGCACACGCAAGTGAAAAAATGGAAACTTAGATGGCTGATAGCATGAAAATAAATTAGCAGTATTAGGTGAACAAGTTATGTAAAAGAAAATTAAACCCAAATTCTCCCAAAATGCAATTCTATTATTACGATTTTATGACTCCATTGTTGCACTGAACTGTGTTCAGGTTGAGCTAAACCCACTGATCACTCAGGCCTAGACAGGTTATAGATAGTAATGTGGAGTTAGAATGCTTTTAGTAGCCAAATGAGTGCCATGAGATATTGCAATGAGCCTAAAATGGAGAAATAATATAACCAGAAGACTAAAATAAAGTGGGATACTGTGTGAGGACACAGGGCTCAATGCCATTCACTGTGTTTTGAATGAAAACGGGCAATTTGGCTAGTTGCTTATTAAGGGCCATGTTGTCAGATTAATTCCCACTCTATGTGCCTCATTCCACCTATCCAACAAAGCTACAAACAAATTATGTAAAAATGAGTAAAGATTACTCAGCAGGTTTCTTTTTGTTGTTGGGTTGGTTTTTTTTTCACAATTTCATATTACATTGTTGAATTAATTATCACATAACGTTGTGGAGGACAATACCATTAACTGGTTAAAAAACAAGCCAGATGAATGTTGAATGGGTCCATCAGAAACTCCTAGTTACCTCCTTGCCATGATTGGAGGAAAATACTGGACAAATAAACCCTTTATCCTGCTACCCTGTTTCCTGAACTGTCCTTTACGCATCTCTAGTCATTGGCAGAAATAGGGTATAAAGCTAGATGAATTTCAGTCTGACAATGCATATCTGTTGTTCTTGCACGTATTTGTCTGTGGTTAAGCTAGATATTCACCTGTTTTGCATCACTGGAGCACTGAACATTCTAAGGAATTCGCACTAAAGATTCTCATTTCTAGCAGTGCCCAAAGAGGCATTTGCTGCTGAACTGAAATATTGAATCTGAATGATCCTAGTGCCAGGTGCCACCAGCTCAGGCATACCAGTAACAGAACTGAATCAGCAGCTCCAGAGAAGGTTCTCTGTTTTATTTTTGTTGGTTTTTTAAATAAAATATAAAAAATCAAAACTGGTTGATGAACAAAATCAGGTATTAAAAGGCAATTCTGTACTACCATTTTATAGGCTAAGTTGTAGCTTTCAGGCAGGCACATGTGTTTGCAGCACACTTTCCAAATGTATTTAATAACACTGGTTCTATTCTCTTAACCCACACAGCATTGTCCTGTCCATCCCAGAGCCATTACACAGACTGTGTCTCCACGTGCCCATCAACATGCAATGACATTTTTGCCTCTTCCCTTTGTGAGAAGACAGAAGAGTGCACAGAGGGCTGTGAGTGTGACGATAATTATGTGCTCAGTAATGGCAAGTGTGTACCTCTGAGTAATTGTGGCTGTAGAGATGACGACAACAATTACTACAGTGTAAGTAGTTTGTCTGGGGAGCAAATCTCTGGCTGCAAAACTTATAGAAAGTTGCTCCCCTGTCCGTCCGAATGAGAGAGAGAGAGAGAGAAATGTTCAGTCTACCTCTTAAATACCTCTCATTTTATTAGTAAAAGCTGCAGGCTCAGGCATTATGAGGTGCAGGAGCTTGGTACTTCGCACCAGAGGCCAAAATTGAGGCATAATCAAAACTAGTCAATTGATCAGAATTATTCAGGCAGTCTGTCCTAGTCCTGCTGTGTGTTCAAATTCTCATGTCAAAGACAGTAAGATAAACAGGCTGGGATGTCTCCTCCCAGGCCCCTGGTGAGACTACACCTGGACTGAGCAGTTGTGCAATCACCAACTAGACTAAGTCCCTACACCCTTTGCCATTGAACTTTTATTGCATTGCAAATCTGAGCACCTTGGTAACATACTAACACAACTTGTGTCCAGGCTGGGGAGACCTGGATAACTCCACATTGCACCAAAAGATGCCAGTGTCAGAAGAACGGTGTTATCGAATGTAAGAGCTATAGCTGTGATTCTGAAGAAATTTGCGTGACCAAAAATGGAAAAAACAAGTGCAATCCAACAGGTATGTGACGGCAGGTTTTCACTTGGTGTTCCATGAGGGCTGGAGAAGGAAGAAGGATGTGGGTGTCTATACTTTCTTCCATGGCACTTCCAGACTTTTTCACAGGGAAAGAAGACAACGCTATTGACAGCACATTATTGAACACAAAAAGGCCTCGATTCTCAGAACAGAAAGTTCCACTACAAGACAAGAGAATTTGTAGAGGGAAATGGAACAAGAATTTGAAAATTTACTTACATCTTGAAATTTGACAGTTCAGTCTGATTACTTTAAATTTAAAAAAAAAAAAAATTTGCACAGCATCTACCAAACCCAAAACTCAGATATGTCTGTGAATCCTTTGGCAATGACCCAGTTTTTTCCATTGCATGTTGATTTGAGAACTGAGAAAAACAAAGGCAAAACAGGACAGACCAGATCTGAACAGGTACGTAATAGGCCAGTAGAGAACCTTGGTGCTATTCATCCAATAGTTGCTTTGGCTAAGCAAAATTCTGTATTCTCTAAGTAGATTGGATTGTTTAAGAGATAGCTTGTTGCCTAGTGACTCTACACTTCAGTTTTGAAGAATAGTACGGCATAGGTCCTACTGCATTGATGATCAGTACAAGAGCATAATGCAAACCCAGCTTCTCCCTGCTCAGTTTTGGCAAAATACCACAGCAGAGACACCCCGGCAGTCTTAAGGAGAGCTTTGGTCCTAGGATAATGGTTTGCTCTGCACTTAATAGTCAAGGAGAATACTTAGACAATAGTCGCTGCATCTGATTGTTAGGTCTGGTGAACCCAACGATCAATTTAGTAACCTCAGAAGACATCAGTGCTACAGCAGTGAGCCAGTGAAAATCAGACATTGCTTTTCAAATTCCCATAATTTTTTGGCAACACATTGCTGAGGATTATGAAACTGACATCTCCAAGACCCCACTGCAAGCCATGCTGTGTGGCATCCTCTGTAGAGGACCTGTGGCAAAGCTTAGTCTCTATAAAGCCTATAAACCCTGATGTTGTGCTTCAGTTCAGCTGGCTTGCACTGGTTCTCAGCAGAGGAATGGGTTTCTCTGGCCATCTCCCCATTTCAGTGCCCATTCACTAGGGTGATGACTGAGCATTCACCTTTACTTTGAGACCCGCATGCTAGCAGCAATCATTTTTATCTAACTTATGTTAAAATGATCCGTGCTTGGGATCTGGCACATGCACATTTAGACTGGAGAGTAACAAAGTTCTTCCCCTTTAGGTTTTGGGAGATGCCAGATCATGGGCGATCCACACTACATCACCTTTGACGGTCTGGTGCACCACTTTCAAGGGAAATACACATATATACTGGCTCAGACCATCCCTGACCTACCTGATACTCTGACACAGTTCAGCATTGAAGGCATGAACTATCCTCTTCCTCGAAATCGACACATTACTTACCTGAAAGAGATTCTCATCAATGTTTACAATCACACAGTGCGATTCAGGCAGAACAAGCAGCTAGTGGTAAGTCTCTCACTGACTGCAGAGTACAGAGTACAGAAAGGCTCTCCCTTGGAGTAAAACACCTTTGAGTAATGAATGTCTATTCTGAAGAATTTAAGTATTAAAGCTAACTATATTATTACAACAGTGCTATGGGGCAACCACAAATGTGATTTTCAGCTGTGTTGAGTCTTTCTTCTCTATAGCTATGAAAGACATAATTCTACTTCAAACAAATAAATTAATATAAAGAGATTTAGGCAAAAAAAAAAATCCCAAGACTTACAATAAAGCCATACAAATTTTTGTCAGTGATAGAGAAAAGTGTGAATTATGCTAGAAAAACTTAATTTCCTTCCTCTTTATTGGTGTGTAAAAGTATACATAGCTCATATATACATTTTTAGCTCAATAATAGAAATCTCTTAGGATGATATGACAATACTATGTCCAGATGACTTTCCTCAATATATGATTTTGTTAACTTTAAAAAATTGAATACCAAATATCATTTTTTTACCTGGTTAAATTATCTGATATATTTATCACAAAACCAGAGTTGTAGCATTGACCTGTACTGCAGCTAGATTTTAATTTGGCATATATATTACGAGTTTTAACTTATTCTTTTCCTGCCAGTTGGATGGTGTGAGGGTGAGACCCCCTGCTCGTCCTCATGAAGGTATTCGTATATATCAGAGTATAACAAGAATTCACCTGGAGACAGATTTTGGCTTATACCTGGGCTTTGATGGCAACCAAAATGCAGGTAAGTAATACAAAGACAATGTACAGGAATATTTATGCACTGTCTTAAAAAATGTTCTCATTCCAAAGCAGGTCTAAACCCAAGGCAAAATTAGAAACCTTCATCCGTTGAGCCTATCGTCCTTTATGATACAAACTTCCAGAAAATTAAAAGAGTGTTTCCCAGGAACCAGAAAAAAAAAACATAAAACTGTCATTTCTTTAACTGGATCCACCTGTACTTAGGAGAAATGAGATGTAGAGTCAGACTGTTCTACTTTTTTTCATGTTAAGTAAGGCCTGAGTAATAGAAACAAAAGCCAATCACTTAAAAGTGCTGATCGGGGTGATGGGATGAAGTCTGGATCTACTTCTTTGTCAGCTTAACGCAGTCATAAGACTGAGGTCCTCAAGCTATACAGCTGGGAGTGTACCCTTTTACATGCTTCCTCTCAAGCCTATTCCAGATAATCCCGTTCTTCAGTGTTTCTCAGCAGGACTCTCATATCACATATACACAAACTCACTCATGTAAGTTGAACACATGCTACCTCCTCTGTTCAAAGCAGAATTACTCCTAATTTACAACAGAATATAGCCATGTTATTTCTGAGTGTATGGTGAAAGTCCCAGGCCATTTATACACATGACCATCATTCAAAACCCTAAAATTCCAACTTCAGAAAGAAAAGGTCTGGTTTATACGAATTCTGTTTCTCAACAATCAAGTGGATTGTAAGTGAAGGGCAAAAGTGGGTGGTGCATTTAGTTTGTTGCAAAGCAGTGAGCAGTACGCACTAAGAGCATTCAGGTGGTGATGTCATGTTATGTAATAGCTTACTGGCTGCAAGAAATTACTTTTTTCATGATCCATGTTGCAGAGCACAGAAATAATCCTGTGAATACATGTGTGAACATGTATGTTCAGGGCTGTGTTCATATCCTATGTATGAGGCCCATGCCACATGACCAACTCCGACCTGAATCATGAAATGTGGTACTTGACACTGCTTTCCACCTCTTCCATACACTCAGAAGCAAATATTTCAGCGTAATGGCTTTTTTTGATTTTGAACTTCCCTAGACATAAAGCTGGCCAACACCTACAGAAGCAGAGTGGAAGGCTTGTGTGGTAACTTCGATGGGAGATACAGAAATGACTTCACAAATCCAGACGGTGTTTGGGTGAAGAGCGTGAATGTATTTGGTGAGAGCTGGAAAGTTCCTCTGAAAAGAACAACCTCTCGTCTCAGGTACCTAATTTTCTACTTAATATCCATGGCAAGCACAGCCACTGGAAGTGAGTGAATTAAGCCATAGTTAATATCCAGGAATAACTACACTGCCTTATTTCTGGTCTTTCTTCTTCCTTTGGTCTGTGTGTAGGGACTTTTACTGCTCATCACTAACTATCAGTGCCCTTCTGTACAGCCAAAAGAGGTCTGAACTATCACTGCATTACCCCAGTTCAGTATCCTTCTTTGGAGTCACAGCCATTACAACTGCTAGGGCACAGAGATGAATAAGATCTTTACCAAGTGCATGGTTCCTGGCAAAGATAAATACAACATGTAGTGCTGGATGGGCCTGAGGGAGGGCAAATTCTGTTTCAGTATCATCCCCGCCTCTGGAACATGAACGTAGCTTTGAAATCCATCAAGATAAATTCACAATTCCTCTCAGAAGAGGTTTTGGAAGAGTCTGATTTCCTTACTTTCATGGCTATCTAGTGTTTTCTGCCAGTATACAAAAAGTAAGGACATTCTTTTGAGTATAAATGAGCATGATATTTGTGGTCAGGCAAATTCTGTGCTAATTAGTCCATACACAACATTGAAACAGGTAGGGAGAGAAGTTTCCTTCCTTCCTGCCTTCTCAATTTGCTTTGAAAGACTTTTGGAGGTTGCTTAGACACTAACACAGAACTTTTTCAGCAATTGTATTAGCTGTCAGGATTTAATTTGGCTGCAAAAACTTCTCTGCCAGAATAGTAAAACGTAGTATGTAGGCTAGTGTTGAGCATAAAGGGACTCTGAGTGCTATGCCTACAGGAGAATTCTGACACTTCAGGCATGCAGCCAGTTGTTCAGTGAAAGCGAGCATATGTCCAAGAAATAGTGGCCTATTCCAGCTGCATCATTCTGACTAACATTCAAGTTTTACTGAAGAGATTGGATGAAGGAGGCATTGGATGAAGCCTGTGTCATGTAGAATTTCCAAAGAGATAATTACAGCTATCCATTTGGATTTAAATACCCATAAATCTCCGAGATGGTAGGAAGTGTTCTATTACATTTTTGATTTGCTTTATCTATCTCCTTCTCATTCAAGATAAATCATGAGAGATCAATAAGCTTACACTTACACCACAAGGCAGAAGTATTATTGTGGTCTTGCTTAGACAGTAGCACCACGAATGCTGGATGTACAGAGAACTGATGGTTTCATAATGACTTCATTTCCAGACGAGATATCAATTCAGAAGATGAGTCTGAGGAGGAACCAGATCCAGGGCTCTTCCAAGGCTGCAATGAAAAACAGCTGAAGCAAGAAAACAGAACTTCTAGATGTCATATCCTGATTGACTCAAACGGTCCTTTTGCAAACTGTCATTCTACAGTCTCACCAGATTCCTATTTCACGTAAGTGTATACTGCAGATAGTTGTTCTCCTCATTTGCAAAAATCTTTTTGGCACTAGTTTCTGACAAGAACTTTGCATCTTCAGTCTCCAGGGCATTAACAGGAATTGAGGACAGTAAGTGTCTTTGGAGGACTGGGCCCAGTGATTCTATTATTGATCTATTTAAATTCCCTTATTTTTTTTATAAATAACTGTGATTATCTGTCTTCTTTATATAGTTCAATTTTTCTGTTAGCTCTAGAGAGTAGCCTTCCTCTTTTCCTACACATAAAAAGCAGTAGTGTTAGGCATTATATCTGTAGGCTGGGATTTCCAGCGTGCTTATAGTTCTCATCCACATTCAGTGAGAATGCAGCTCTATTAGTTTCCTTTTAGCAATTGTAGCTTCATAAAATCTAGCCTTCATGCTATAGCCACAAAGGCTGAAGCTGTCAGTGACACTTCTTGAATCTTTCATGGAAAAGTGCAAACAACAGATTAGTGAAGAGTAACTAACCCGCTATCTTCAAGAAAGTTCCCCCTGATGTGTTTCAAGGCTACACTGGCTTCTTGTATATACAATTCCTATACACCTGATTTAGAGCTGTATGAAACCTGTAGATTCATCCCCACCACATTCATCATTCATCAGTCACAATATTGCCAAGTAGCTGCCACCTTCCTTTAGTCATGGAGTTGTAACTAAAGATAGCTAATGCCCACTTCAAAGTCCATCTTAGCTGTGAGAAGAATGTGAAGGTATCTTAAGCCAAATAAACTGGATTGATGGCTTCAATGTATATATCCTGATTCTTAACATAAGCCTACTTTTCTCCTCGCTCTAGAATTTGGTTGGGCAGCCTGTTTTACCTTCTTAGTGGTTGCTCATTTTGCTGAGGTGCTGCATACTTGCAGATCCCATCCATTTCAGATCTCACCGCCTCTGAAAATCAGGCCATAGACATTCAGATGATAAGTAAGGCTGAGAAGGCAACACTGGCAAACAAACACTGGATAAAACAGAACTCTGTGTAAATATTCAAGGCATATGGACATGGGGAGGGCACCCATGTACTGAAAGAAGTGTATAGTCCAGCTGTAAGACTTAGCAGCACTAAAAAGTGCTCTGTAAGCAAGAGGCAGCCACACTAGCCCAAATCAGCAGCAGATAGCAAAGAATAACTTTCTGAGACAAGCAGTCAGGTACCTGTTTATTGCTTGTTAATATATAAACACCTCGCTGTTAGCAGCAGCTGCACAACAAATGACCTGATCTTCCCAGTCATCATGACCTGGTCTTCAACTAACTCGAGTCAGCAGAAAAGCAGCTGGAAATAACCAATAACGAATGTATTGGGAATGAACGCTTTCTCTTGTTGCACATAGGAGCTGCCTGTTTGATATGTGTGTGGAAGATGAAGATGCTACCTTATGTCGCAGTCTGGAAGAATACGTGCTGGCTTGTCAGCAGCAAGAAGTCAATATGGAAGGCTGGAGACAAAAGACAGTTTGTGGTAAGCACAGGAAGAACCAAAAAGTATGTTTTCTGCCTAAAGGACTCAAAATCTGAGATTTCAGGCTTTTCCTAGAAGCACCATGTATCAAAGCTCCTCAGGGAGTAAAAGCAAGTTGATTCACACATCAATCACTGTTCACAGTTTAGCATGTGCACTCACTCTTCCGGCCTCTCTTCTGTGTCCTATGCTGACTTTCACATTTAGACTCTGCTTAGAAAACTACTTAGTCAGTCAGCTCTCCTGTCGTCAGAAGTTTGTGAGAGAAAAAAATGTCCCCATTCCCAATTGGGCAAAAAATTTAAAATTTTGGAAGTCTCAAATCTGAAGGAAAAACTTTAAAACATTTAATTTCAATCTCTTTTTAAATCTACAAAACCCACTAATTCTTTTTTTGCTTGCAAAATTTCAAAAGAAAAAAGATTCAGCTGAAAACCCCAAATCTTTCAGACTAGAAAATGCTGAAATAAGACTTGTAATAATCTCAAACCTTTTTTTTCCTAATACTTTTTTTCAAGTGGGGAGTTTCATCAAACCATACTTCCCCTGTGTCACCCATGGTTAGATGACTTTGTATTCCTGGTGAAACAGAGTTCCCAGAGCTGTGAAACAGCTCTGGTACTTGCAGGGATGGCAACCCTGAATGTGTGACAAGTTATTTGAGATCAGTGAACACCAGGGATGAGAGCACAGCATACTAATAGCTTTGATGATGCATTTCCTGACTTTGGAGTACTTTACTTACAACTTGAGTACTATTATATATGCATGCACATCTCTGTGCATGTGTGTTCGTCGTAATGCCTCCTACAAAAGGGTAACATCCTCTGGATAGCAAAGGGCATTGTACAAAAAGGTAACGCACAGCAGCCTGCTGTAACCGGACTCTCCCTGTTTTTACAGGTATATCATGTCCTGCCAACAGCAACTACAGCTCATGCATGTCTGCATGCCCCGCATCCTGCAGTGACCTGACCAGCCCCTCTGAGTGCGAATCACCTTGTGTTGAAGGCTGTGAATGTCTCCCTGGCTATGTTCTTAGTGGTTTTGACTGCGTGCCTTACAAACAATGTGGCTGCACATACCTTGACAAATACTATGAGGTACATAGTCTCCCTACAGGCCAGACAGCTCCCACAGCACTAAACAACATTTTCTTCTGCTAATTATTTTTACAATCTCCTCAGCATGTAATTTTGCATTAGAAACAAAGAGCAATTTTTTAATAAAATTCTCTTGCCTTCCTCTGGAGACCAGAGAGTAGATCACTTGGTCTGCCTCTGAAACTCCACCTGCCAGAATACTCAAGGCAGGCACGTGGAGAAAGTATATGATTACACTCTGACTTCCATGTTAATTCTTCACCTTTATTACATTAAATAATAGCCTCATAGGCCCTAAAACTTACAACACACCAGTTACAGAGAAATTCTGTAAGTCACTGTGGTCCCTCTCCTCTCAGTGAAAAGTGGTATAGACAGAGTTGAGAGTCTGCAGAGTTGGCTACAGCATGAAGAGAGCCCCAAGCAAGGCTGGATTCTGAGGAACACAGAGAATCCTCCATTGTAGCTGCAGGAAGAACAGCTTCATAATCTCATAGATTTATGTTTTAACACTAGAGATTTGGTACAGAAAAGGCCTAACCCAGTAAAGACTGTTTTATGGGAGGAGGGAGACACTTACTACAAACAGGTCGGACTTGCCAGAAAAATGGCACATGACATTTCCAGATTGCCTTGGAGTCATGATGTGATGCATCTCTAATCTCTAGCAACAATTAGACATTGTTGGTTGCACGTGTACCCAACCTGGGGCTAGGATCTCATACCCCAAACTGTTCTTTTGCTTTCTTTCTTGGGCCATCCTTGAGTTTCAAAGAGCTGGATTAGTAAGCTGCTTGCTTTCTTTTTCTTAAAAAATCTGTCCTGTTGCCATTCATAAGGAAGGCATCAGAGAGAGTAGCATGGGGCCCCAGTGCTCCATTCATTTTTCTAGTTGATTTTATTTGATATTTGTTAACATTTAACTGCTGTCTTCCAGATTGGAGAAGTATTCACCACTGATGACTGCTCTCAGATATGCCAGTGCACAGAAAGCTCCAGTGTCTCCTGCTCTAACACAGTGTGTGGATCTGATGAAATCTGTGGCATTTCAAACTACACTCATGGATGCTACAGGAGTGAGTCAACCACACATTGTTTTCGATGCTAAGAAGTCTTGACTTACTGCTTATAGGACATCACTGGGTTGGGGATAGTTGCAAGTGTCTGAACAGAAGAAGAGCCTCTTACAGGCTTACTGGGGATCTTGCTCTGATGTTTCTTTCTCCTATTCCTGTTGTCAAGTACAAGTAATGTGCCTTAAAATACAGGGCATGTCCACCACTAGCAGTCAGTGTAATCTAACCAAGAACAGTTCTCTCAGGGTTAGATTATCTGAGAGTCTGAAGTGTTTCTCCTTCCTTTTTGCTAGGTGGACCGTGTATGCCAAATCCTTGTAAGAACGATGGAGTTTGCTCTGAAACGACCAATGGCACCTCTCTCCAATTCTACTGTGAATGTACAGAACTGTACACAGGACCAAGCTGTGAGGCTGAAAAGATGGGTAATAAAGCTATTTTGGATTTCACTGGCTGCATTACACACAAGACTTTCAAGAATGGGTGTCATTATGGAGAAGACTGAGCTTGCTCTTCATTTCCATGCTGTAAATGAATAACCCAGTGCATAAGAGCCTGTGGTCATCCAAGCAGAAAAAAAGGGTTAGATCCCCCAGTGGAGAGGTGCTAGAAGGCATGACAACAGGGCTCTGTGGAGCGTACAGGACCTGGGTCTGACACCACTCCAGAAAGCGACATTCATGAGAGAACATAGTATAAACCAAGCAGGCAGGCAAGGGTTGGGAAAAAATTTCTCTTCGCAGCATGGATAGCTTTCACTGACAGGGCTCTTATTTCTTCTCCTACAGAAGACCCTTCTCCTACAGAGAACCATACAATTGCCATCGTCATTGGAGTTGTGGCAGGTGTAGTTGTTATCATCATTCTCATCTCCTCTACAGTGTACCTGTACAGGTAAGGCTCTACTCAGCTTTGCTACATTCAGCAGTCACATACACACCTTTTAGCACCTGTAAACTTCAAAATTCCCATTAGTCACGTACCTGCAGGGCCAGAAAGGAACTACAGCATTCAGGATCTCATTTGAGGAATATGAGGGAAAACTTAGCTTTTTCTCAGAAATTAACGTATGCCATTTCCTTTGCACAGGGCATATTTATCACTATCACAAAACTTGGGCTTTTCCAAAATCTGACTTCGTTCATGCTCACACCATTGTTTGACCTCTCACTACAGATAAGAACAGAAATTAAAAATGGTTGCTCTTTTTTTTTTTCCATTGTACAGAAGGAAGAGAAAGTTTCATGCAGCTGCAAAATCAAGGGATTCTTCTTCGAAACAGTCCAAGGATGTATTGGATGACAGAGTACATGAGCAAAATCACGGCTGCATTGTGAACACTGCATTTGATCAGAATGAATCCAAATATACGTACCTATAGTCAGCAATATTTTTCCAATTCATTTGTATTATTTTATGCTCTTTCATTTTAGTGTATTTCTAATACTTTGAGAAGAAATAATAATAAATAAATCATTGCATTTGCTGAAAACTTTTGAAATCATTCATCTAAAATTCTCAGATTCATCTAAGATTCTCATTCTCAGATCTCATGTTGTAGACCCAAATTGAAATGTCCTAAATCACACTAGAGACTGTGTTGTCTTCAGAGACTGCTTGAAAAACACAAAGTCCAGAGAGAATCTGCCAGCACAAGTGCTGCACACCATCACACATACACCTCTGATAGATGCACAAACCTTGGACTGATGAGGTCAGAATTAATTATAGCATCCCAGGCAGGTCTTCATGAGATCATCTTACCCAAATCCTTCCATGGGAAGGGGATTAGGTGACTGAATCGGGCACAGTTCTTGCTCCTCTTCTGGCAAGGCATGTCCAACTGGGGAGAGAAATATCCAAGAAGACACTGAGCTCATCTGGTGGCAGATGCAGTAAAAAGCATGACCCACATTGTCGCCCTTGGGAGTGCTGGACTGAAAGAAGGGACTGTTTGAAGAAGAGCTGCCTCCTTGCCATCAGGGTGGAGCAGACAGTAAGTAGGGCTGTCATAAGTCCCCTGCTTGTGGGTGCTTGAGCAAGAGCATAACTTAGCAAAAACTTTCAGAAGAATGAGATCCTGTCATAAATCCTTGGGGTCTTTGCAAACTCCGAAGCTGCCACACTCTGATGAATGTGGGTAGTCTGCATCACCAGTTCTTTGCAGGTTCACATTTGATTACAGTGGGGAACAGCATGGGCTTCCCGTTGTTTCTGTCATAATGCTGGTTATTATTTACTTGCCCTTTCTCCCTTCCTTTTCTTTCCCTTGTATTCATAAGCTCATGTGTGCTATTAGTCAGAAAAGTATTTGTAACCTTTGTGAACAGTTAGGTAGATGAAAGGCATTTTATTCTGGTCTGTTCAAGAACATGCCAGCTGACCACAAACACACAGCACAGCTATTTTGGAGAGGATGTGAATGGAAAGGGGCTTTCAGCCTCACTACATAATAAAAATGAATCAGCACAAGACCTACTCGTGCACAAATGAACTGTCAACCTTATGCTGGAATTTTACTGCCATTATAAAAGCATCTTTCCTGCCCGTTCAGCAGCAGCTTCCTACCTACCACGCTCTCGTGCTTGCTAACAGGGCGATTCTGCGGTGCTGAACATCGAGCTGTGCTGACCACACTCCCCTCCCCGCCGGTGGGAGCACAGGCCAGTCCCTACCGTGCAGGATCCCAGCCTGGGCTCTCCCAAGCAACAGGGCTCAGCTGTGCCCGAGTAAAACAGATTTCTGGGTTTCCATGGATACACTGTGGGTTTTTTTTCAATACCCCAAGAATTGCCTTGGCTTTCCACTGCAAAGCTTTGCAAATACTTCAGACTTGAAATGGGGTGATATAGAAAACAGAATTGCAGCTCTGTGCTCCACTGAATTAACTATTTCATGTCAATAGAAGACACAAAGATGACGAATCTACTGCTGCTCTGATCTTTTAAATCAACTGGCTTGCTCACCTGACTTACAATGCTGGGCTTTAAATAAACTGCCAGTTTAAGTTCAACTCAGCCAGGGGACAGTTTTGCTGTTACAGAACCCTCCTTTTTAGCATACCGTGCCAGCAATAGCCACGGAGTCAGCCGCACCTGCTCAGCTGTGCTCACCCCCGAGCTCGGAGGACTTGCTGGGCACAATCATGAGACTCCTCTGATGTCCTGAAAGAAATTCTTGGGCCACAACACGAAAAGCCATCCTAGAAATCTCTTTGCCCTAAACCGGCCATTGATATTTTCTCTGAGCTCCAGCTCCTTTGCTTCTCTTCACCAGCAAAGAAGCGAAACGGCAGCATCCCCTTTCCCTCTGGAAAGGCTTCCTGCTGGGGGACGCTCACTTACCCCTCGGCCCGCAGGACAGCCGCCCTGGCCGCGCAC